GGTGGGCAGAAGAGGAAACGTGGAGATCAAAAGAGAAGGCAGTGGCCCTATGACCCAGAAAAATATTGCAACTTCCATAGAAGGCCTGGACACGCCACTGAAGAATGCCATTTCCTCAAAAAGATGGAAGGAGAGATGAAGAACAAAGAACCAAGTGCCAATCAGGAGCCGAACCAAGGAGGTAACGTTTGGCGTAGGGACGCCCAACCACAACAGCAAGTCCAGGAGAACCCGGAAGAATTTCTCCAAGTAGCAGTCATCTTTGGCGGTCCAGAAACAGGAGTCACAAGCAAGGAGAGGAAGGAATGGGCTCGCAAGCTATATGTGGGGTCCATTGACATAGGCCAAGCGGCCAAGAAAGGAAGGAGGGAGCCCATTGTCTTCTCGGACGAAGATTTACCACTCATTCTTAGTCATCATCAGACCCCCCTGGTAATTTCTATGGCTATTCACAAATTTTTTGTTAAAAGAATTTTGGTGGACACTGGAAGCAGTGCCAATGTGCTGTACTGGGAAGCCGCCCAGCAATTGGGAATCAGGAAGGAAGATCTCACAAAGCTTAACATGCCCTTGTCCGGCTTCACTGGAGATATAATTGAACCGGAAGGGTCCATTAAATTGGACATCATCATAGGCGAACATCCTAAGGTGAGACATATGAGGATGGATTTTGTAGTGGTCGACATCAAATGCGCTCACAATGCCATCTTAGGGAGGCCTGGGCTAGAGGACTTGGGAGGTGCACTATCCCTTGAACACCTGTTCCTCAAGTTTAGGACTCCTGAAGGTGTTGGGAGGGTGCTTGGTGATCAGCCCGCGGCCAAGAAGGCCTATCTAAGCGCCTGTAAGAAGATAGACAAGGAGAACCTCAACATCCAAACCATCGGGCATGTTTTGGAAGATAAAGAAAGGAAGGAGGAAGACCGGGAGAGGCCCAAGCCAGCGGTGGAAAAGGAGGAAGTGGTGCTATTCCCGGAAGGGGATCAAGAAAAGGTTGTGAGGATCGGTTTAGGGCTAGGGGAGGATACCCGTGAAGAGATAATCCGAGTATTAAGAGAAAACTCGGTCCTCTTTGCATGGGAATCCAAGGATATGCCCGGAGTCGATCCCTCAGTCATTTGCCATAGGTTGAACATCGAGATGGACTCCTTCCCGGTCAAGCAGAAGAAAAGATATCAGTCCACGGACAGAAAAGAATTTGTGAGGAAGGAGGTGAAAACCCTTTTGGAGGCCGGCCACATTAGGGAGGTCCAATATCCCAAATGGCTCGCCAATGTGGTGCTGGCACCAAAAGGGGACCCCTTTCGCATGTGTGTGGACTTCACTGACCTCAATAAGGCATGTCATATGGACCCCTTTCCCCTACCAAGAGTAGATCAACTGGTAGATGAAACGGCGGGCCATGAACTATTGAGTTTTATGGACGCCTTCCGAGGATACCATCAAATTTTCATGGACAAAGATGATGCGGAATCCACAGCCTTTATCACCCCTGAAGGAGTATATTGTTACGTGGTCATGCCTTTTGGGCTGCGTAATGCGGGGGCCACATTTACAAGAATGATCTCTTTATTATTCAAGGAGGTCCTGGGACAGATCATGGAGGCTTATGTGGATGACCTA